AAATCACGCCTCAATCTTGAAACATCATAAATATGATTGCTTTCTTCCTCTTCTGTTTCTTTTTACTATTTGGGGTTGGGGTTACCTGCCAACAATGGAAACCACAAATAGAGATGATCCACTTTATCCTTGGGTTCTGCATTATCAAGTTTCGTGTCTTTTCCTTTCTGAGGGGAAGGGGGCACCTTTTCAGAAGTCTCCTTGCCTAGATCTCCTTCAGCGAGTTTTGCAGCACAATATCGAAGGAAACCAATGGCATTAAGACTGATTTCTTTGTTGAATCGAGTATTGGTGAAAGCGATCAGGCAATTTACACAGTCCGTGAAAGTGGTTGTTTCAGTTTCAGTGATATATGGGAAATAATCACGCACAATTTTCTCGATTATTTCAAAGGAAAGCAGAACAATGTTCTTATGGTCGTCATAAGCAGCTGTTGTAAACACCTGCAATTGTGAGTATTATCTGATCAGAACTTCAAAAAGAAAACTGAGAAATAAAATGCAAACCAACATGAAATATTATGGGTAATTTACAAAACCTCCAATATTCACGAAAAAAAAAGGTTATGTGCTCCTACAGTAATGCAAATACTACCTCGAAATTTGTCCCTCACAAATTGAAATATGAAGGGACTAATTTTATAACAAATAGAAACAGACAATAAGATTTCCTTAGTAGAGTCCATACCATGAACATGCTCTTCCATCCTGACTTGACATTATTCACCCGGGATAACACCATCTGGGAAACACATCTGATAATCAATTCCCTGATTTCAACAGCATTACTCTGGCGCATCACAACTACAAAAGGCTTCATAAACTCATTCTGGAAGTTATAATTAGCCAATTCCTCTCTCTCCAGGAATTTCATTGACAATTGGCGCAAAGAATCCATTGCAAATATTGCAATAGACAGGTTTGTTGAACAGCCAATTGTCACAAAAAAATCAGAGAGTACAAGCCAGATTTTGGACCACACAAGTCTGATGCGGTTCATGTTGTAGTGCCTGTTCAGACGAAAATACTGCAAGTTACATTACCAGCAAAAGAAAGAAGTGCACAAAAAGAATTTATTAAATTTTTCAAGAAGTATGCAAAACGTCAGATGACAAGTGCTAACAGAAACATACGCAATCTCAACTATCTTTGTAAGACTGAACACCCGCGGATCAGATGTGGATCGCAGTTCATCCATGGACACCTTGCACAAAGCCTTCACAAAATCAACTATTGCCTCACTGTTTAGCTTTTGGCTCCTTATGAATATGCGATTTACTTCACCAACTTGTTCCAACATGTTTAAATTAGAGACCAAGTTGTTCATCTGCTCAGATGTAATTCCAGCAGCTGCACTACCACCAACACCTGCACTATCATACGAACCCCTTCTAACTGCAGAAGCTGCATTATGAATCTTCCCAGGTCCTTTCTTTCTTAAAACAGGGAGAATATTTGATCTGGTCTGCTTAGATTTGTCTAAGTCATTTTGTGGGATAGCAAAGAAGGCAGCATCTGGGGGAGCACCTTCGCCCAACAGATGCAAATGTTCAAACCGTGACACACAAGTTAAAATATGTTCCCAAGCCTCTTGTAAATAATTCCCATCCTCATCTGCTATTGTAACTATAGCCTGTAGAAAAAATTCATCAATCAGAGTTGTGCATACTCTAGAAACACGGAAACGGATCTCTCCAGACAAAATCACTTTAAATTAACTAAAGTTTACAAGTACGGCAATCATCTTTTACTTAATAGTCAGAAGCATCAATTTACAAAGAGTGATCTTTCTAGTAATTAGAGTCATCAAGTCACATTAGACCGTGTATTTATGGACAATATAATGATTTGTAAAAATTAATGTACTAAAAGTTGCAGTCAGTAAAACGGATAAGAGAATAAGAACAGGAAATTCACTCTAATGTACAACATCCAAGTATCACACAAGGCATGATACGCACAGAAGAGGTTAGAACCTACCTTGATCGCATCAATGTTTTTCTGTTTAATATCTGCAGGTGAGTGGAGAGATGTAAATTTTGCTAAAGATGTAACAAAAGCATCTCTATGAGTTTTCATTGACATTGCTGCAGTAACATGAATTGCGCTACGGAAACCTTCCAAACAAAGTGATATTACAACTTCTTCATCACTTTGGTCAAGAGGAACACTGAAAGCAGCCAGCATCGGAGCCCAACATGCTTCAATCATGAACCTGAGAATCACCACATCTGTAGCAGGATAATAAATTGACCTGCAATTTGCAAATTCAGACATCAAAATAAAACATAAATTGACTTCAACAAAGTTAAAAATCAACATTTCTCCAAGTGGAGAATCTGGCAGATAAAAGTAGACATGGTCGAATACTAGGATATAAAGCATAAAGAATGCTCATCACTAGCAGAAGGGTTCTGTTCCAAATTATTATACAGAATATCCATGGTTAATCTTACTCTGACTTGCGAGCTTTTTCTTTGAATTGCTCCTGCATGTGTCTCATAAGGTCATCACTGGTCTCCATACTGTCTTCCCCTCGCTTTCGGATCACTATATTCAGAATGCTATCTAAGCCTAAAACTCTGTTAGAGTTCACAGACAGCCTCTGTTGAATGGACAAATTATCTTCTTTCATTTTAATCTCATTTCTTGATATTCTCTCAAACAATGATCTCAGGTACTCCTCCGGCAGGTCTTTTCCATCGTCAATCCCACGGTTGTTCCTTATAAAATCATCAGCTGACATCTGAATAATAAATTTAAATGGAATAAAATGGTGTCAATAGAGAACAACAAAAATACAACACTAGTCACTATGTTCAGGGTTGGCAAATGTACCTTATTCTTCACCATAGGGTTATGGGCATCAGTATTCAGCATTATAACTGAGTAGGCAAGCACATATGCAGTGTCAGCACTAGTAAACACCTTTGGGTTACATTTACAGTACCGTTCAGCAAACTTCTCCATAATACGATCAATTTTCTGTGCCTCACCAGGCAATCTAAATCCCTGTAAAAAGACCCTGATTGCCTCATCGAACTCCTTGCCTTGGAAATCAAAGGAATCCACATATGCGTGCATCACTTTCAGAGACAACTCATCTCTTTCACCCAAATAGTCACCAATCAGAGTTTTATCCAAACCAGATGCATTTTTAAGGAAATCTGCTATTTCTTCGGCTGAGTCTCCCACCTTATTTGCATTTATCAGGAATTCAAGGCCTTTCTTTGGTTTTCGGTTAAAAAGAGAGACACCTTCCTGCAATAGTATATGATATCAGGTATCAAGACTGATCCACTTAAAGGCTCAGCAGATAGAACAAAATCTGAACACATTTATCAAATAACTTAAGTTTCACCTGAAGCTCAAGTTTGTATGCACGACGCTGCTCAAGAGTTGAAACATCAGAAATTTCACTGGAGGGTTCAGAGTGAGCATCTGATCCTTCCGTGGGCTCATCAGTGTTGCCATTTGCTGGAGGACTTCCAGGATCAGTTTCAACAGCATCGGATTTCTTTGGACTATGAGAATCTGGGATTCGCAGTTGTTTGTTCATCCAGTCACCCATGCACCTCAAAACAGCAACCAAGCATTTCATAGCCTCTAGTTTCAAAGCAGCATCTTGAGGAGGCTGAAGGGTAGTCGCAACACCAGGTGGAACTCCTTGGGCAGTTTTAAGAAGCCCATTGACCATCCTGGAAATTAAAGCACAATGAAGAGAGAGAAAGAAACTAAAGATCATATAAAGTGACTCATACACCAATTTACATGTTGCTGAAAACAAACTAGAGTTCTAAGCCGTTGCTGGCAATTACCATAATAACAACCTGAAAAGCATAGAATGGACATAAAAAAGTGATATAAGGAAATTACCTCTCAAATATGTTGGAAGCATTAACATCACAGTCATAATTAAGGAATATGTCTATCAAGATCTGCGAATCAAAGCACAGCTTCTCTAGAAACCGAAGGACAGTCATTTTTTGCTGAAAATTCGGTTGTGCAACATTTTCCAATACTCGAAGGACTATCATAGGAAAAAATACACCAATTTCTGCTTTCAGTCCGGCTCTAAATCTTGATACCAGGCTTATAAATATGGAGCAAGAAAGCTGGAAAACGATCATAAGGGTTGAAGCACTGTTCTTCAACAGTGACAAGCACAAGTACTGCTTTATGGCATCTAAAAATCTGCCCANGCAACCGTAAGAAATGATAGTCAGGTACAAAGAAAAAATGACAAATGAACAATGAGCAGAGTAACCAAGTATCTATATATCATGTAAATACAATATTTTGTTTGAAAATGAAAACTCATTTTGGGCTGTGCGATTCAAGAATTATGATATAAAATGAGAATATTTCTACATGTCACAAGTTCCAGACCAAGATGCATATCATCAATAAAGCATTGCATAAACAGTGTTTCAATCTCCCAAGACCTGAAACTGCCAGCCTATTCCATGGGACCAGTCAGTGAAGAGGGGTCAGACTTGAAGCAGAAATACAGAATAATACAAAATCCTAAATAAGCAATGTACCTAAGGTTTATTACTATATACCAGATATTATTAACTACGAGTTTCTAAGTGAACAAGTTCTACAAAGCACAAGGCAAACATGCAGCATAGCATGTCTCTTGGAAGTCGCAATTTCTAGGCAATGGGGGTCAATGATGTCATTCAATTTCTAATGTCAAACCCAGGACAGAAATAAGACGACTATGAAAATGGGGGTCAATGGTGTCATTAAATTTCTAAGATGAAAACTTTAACTTTTAATTCTAAAACAATACATAGCATAGCTTTTTCCTCATCACTCATCACGGATGCATAAAACCTTCTGAAGTGTGCATACCATAGCACCCAAAGCAACCAAATTTCTCATTTTTATGAGCAAAAAAAAAGGGTACAAGCTATCAATTTATCTTACGCGTTTCTAAACAACCCCATGACGGCATCATACATGATGTAGTTTCAGGTTTCACAACTTGATTAGGCTACAAAGCATATATTACTGAGAAAGTCTCTCGATCAGGAAACAATAAAAAATAAAGAAAGAGAATAAATGAAAACAGATATAATAGTTATCACAACAAATACCTTTCACTAGTCCTAAATATAGCCCCAGCATTTTCCAACAAAATCTTGAGCAACTCCAATGCCACAATCTTCCCCTTCATCGCCTGAGGATCAGAAGCCGCATCCTTGGGTGGAGTCTTCATAGAGAGCTTACACAAAGCCCGGAAAACCAAGAAAGCATCCCTTCTCAACTTATTTCCAATCTGAACCTCCATATCATCATCCCTTTCTCCCTCGCCTTCCGCCAACTCCCCTTTCCTTCCCTCCAGTGCTGTCTTATACATACTAATCTCCCAATACTTAGCATCCAACATATCCTTATCCGTAGAATCCAACAAATCTGCTGGATTTGTACCCTCCACTGTTGAGGTCTTAGTATCAAAGGCCCCATCATGCACCCGAATTCCTGATCCCGCACCACCTCTAGGTGTACTAGGGCTGAAAACCCCGTCAATGTCCTGAATTATCTTAGTAATAAAACCCTGGGCGAATACAGTCATGGAGCCATCCGCATCTCCCTTCTCAGGTGGCTCCATCAGCTCCGCCACCACAATGGGCTGCAACGGCACTGTGGATGAATCAGCCTCCATTCTCCGGAACACTATAACGAGCATCTGGACCAACGAAGCCTTGGCAGTAGTCTGGTTCACCACGTTCTTACTACTCAAGTAAATGTCGTAACAAGTCCTCACCACTTGCAGCAGACAATCACCGTGTATCCGCAGGGAGACAGATGTGACGGCCGACAGGAGCGCCTTGATCACCAACAGCTCCACATTCTCATCTCCCAAATCGTGGCATTTGCAGACGGAGTCAATCAATTTGGAGAGCAGCTTGGCGTCGGGCCCACCGCTGGGGTCCGCCTCGCCGTGCAAGTACCCGTGGGCGATCAATCTCTGCACTGCATCGAGCGCGGGTTCAGAGACCTTGGCGTAGTTGGCTGAGAGGGCGTTGATTATCGGGCTGAGAACGATGTCGGACTCCGCCAGGGAGAGATCCAGGAGGACGCCGGGATGGGACGACGCATCGGAATCCGATTGGCCGGAGGGAGACGCCGGGGTTGTGGGAGGGGTAGGGTTTTGGTTGGGCGAGGTGAGGTGCTCGACGACCGATTTGCACTCCGCGGCGAGCTTGGCGTGCTTCCGCCACGATGCGTTCTTGATGATCTTCTCGAGGGAGGGGATCAGAGCTTGGTTCAGGCGGGAATCGGCTTCCGGAGAAGCCATTCCCGGCGATCGGAGACGGCGATGGAGCTGCCAAGCCCGACGTGGGTAATGTGAGTGGCGGCGGTTAGGAAGCCTAGGTGTTCACGCGGCCGCGATGGTGGTGGTGGCAAATGGCGGCGGCGGTGGTGGCGGATCTAGAGAGAGGGGGCGAGGAGTGAGAAGCTGTGGAGCATTTTGGATCGCGAAGGGGGGTGATGCAGGTGAAATGAGAAATGTTTGACCGATGTGAAAAGACGATAGTGCCCTTTCGATTTGATTGAATAGGGGATGAGATGATAGATTTTTTTATTAAATAGGATTAATTGTGAATTATGAATCTCTTTGCTCCTAATCTCGATATTGGAATTAAATATCATAAATTAATCATGATTTTTTGCCTTTCCTTAAATTTTCGTGATAGATGGGATTTTCATAGATAGGAGAGTGATTATTGATAATTGATCATACTACATAATGATGTAAACGAGTCTAGACAAACTCGAGTTTGAGTCATTATTAAGACGAGGTGAGATTGTTGTGTTAAGTAAACGAGTTGATAAACGAGCTCGATATTGGTTGTTAACTAACCGAGATTGAACTTTAATGAACTAAATTAAAATAAAAGTTTAAAAAAATTAATATCATATTTTTCAAGCCAAGTCTCAAGCCTTGATAAATTGAATTATAATAAAAGTTCAAAAAATATGTAAATATCATAATTTTCAAGCCTAACGAATTTTAATCAACCACACTAAATTTGAGCCTTACCGAGCTAAATAGAGCCAGGAATCGATATAGAAGTGAGATGAACAAAGAGAATGTGAAGGCATTTTAGCCATTTCAATGTATTGAAGAACCAATAAGCTTTGTTTTCCCTATTTCAGAAGTAAATCAAAAGTTCTCTTTAGTGCTATTTTGCTGGAAAATGGTGGAAAGAGTCACAGTTCTTGTTCGCCTGTATTTTTAAAGCTCGACCGCAAGTATACGGTTTCGCTCGTAATATGTGGCAAGCAAGGTCGTATCCCAAGAGACCAAATAATCAATATATCAAGTACTAGATTATGACAATGTCAATTTTATTTAGACGATCGAATATTGGATGGATTAACTAACTAAGAAAATAAATCAAAGGGAAATAAAGCAAAAAAATAAAGAACTAGCTAGAAAAACACGTAAGAAAGTATATGGGAATGATAGATTCTAAGACTTTGGTTTCAATTAATAGTTGGGTTCCTTCAAAAAATCACAACCAATGTTTTATTTATCTCCCCTATAAAATGATCACAAATTTAGCTTATCGTCCCTATCGAGATCGATAAAACCGTAGATTAAATCACATATATTAGCGTCTCCACTCAACACATGCAATTCAACTCCAAATAGATTAAAAGATCTAATATCCTCACAACGACCTACTAATCTCTCGATTCAAATAAGTAAATTGTGTCAAATATTAAAGACCTAATATTGAACTCATCTCTCGAATTATGAACAATATTGTCAAACATGTAAAAACATTGATCAAGCGCTAAACATGAAATAAGAACAAAATATTTGAATAGGGTTCAAAAGAGAAGACAATCAATTATAATAATTCATCTAAAATCCCAATGTATTAATCTACTACCAAGTCTTGGAATCAAATAATCTAGCCAATCATGTTCGAATTCAAATACATAGACATATTAGAAATCGACATGATAAATAAAAGTTCAAAAGAAAGAAGAAAGAAAAACTAGGAATCTTGTCAATCTTTCAATCTTCTTGATCCGTTTGTAGTTGGATCTTCTTTTGCTTCTCAATTGTCTCTCTTGTGTGTTTTAGGGCTCATCTAATGTCCAATCCCGTTTTTCCCCTCAATAATAGGTTAAATATGTCTCTTTTTGTGTCCAAAAGCCTTCTCCTCATCAAAATAGGCAAGAATAAAAAAATTGTTTCCGCACGCGACACGATCATGCTGCTCGTGCCACTGGCCGTGTCGCAGCCTGTGTCAGGTGGACAGACCCCATATGATTCTGTTGAGGTGACACGGCCTCTGACACGGGCATGGTGCCCGTGTCGCTGCCCGTGTCACAAACCTGCTTGCTCGTTTTTTCTCGTTTCACTCGTTTCTTCTATTTTTTTCTTCCATGCATCAATCTATCATCATTTCGGGGGTCCTAGGTACTCACCATGCGCCTCTGACCGCGTGTCGAGACGCGGCAAATTTAAATTTATAAAGTTTCCTCGACTAACCTCTACTAACTAGTAGTAGCGGTGAGTAAGGGTCGATCCCACGAGGAGTAGGAATTAAATTGTGACAATTTCGTATTAATTGAATTACACTACAAAAGCAAAGCAAATAAAGGGGGGATTGATTTACAAAACTAAAAATAAAAATAAATAAAATAAAAATCAAATAAATAAGAGCAGTCCAGTTTTTCGGTTCACTTATCACCCAATCTAAATCTAACGTTAATTAATTTCGACGCTTTCTCTAAATTGCCGACGAATTACCAACCCTAGCTAACAACAAGCTCTGTTAAACCGAATTTTTCCTTACCGAATATTTAATCGAAATAAGCTCTTCGACTAAACCTAACTAGTGGACAACCTAGAATAAGTTCTCTAGATTTGATTCACTAGCAGCATTAATTTCTAAGAAAATAGATCAGTCTAAGCAACGGACACAAAAGTTCGGACCATTTAACTTATGTTCACGCTACACTAGAGATGCACGACCCCTAGTTTACTACTAACGAAACGAGAACAATAACAATTACGGATTAAAGCCTCGAATCTAGCAATTAAACTATGAATATTCAACCTAGCTGACCAAACCAAATCAAACACCATAATTCATAAACACGATACACAGATAACATGAATCAACTCATCGACAAAAATAAATACGTCGTCTCGATTAATCAACGATAAGAAATAGATCATTCAATTCATAGACAAATTGAAATTAGGGTTCAAACATCCCCTTAAACTGGATAAAAGCACTAGCCTAACATACTAATAAAAATAAATACTAGATAAAAGAGAAAAGATATAATTTCTCTCGTATGCGAGTGCGGCTTCCCTCTGCGTGTGTAGCCTCTCGCTTTTTCTCTCTGTCTCCGTGTGAGTACCGGTGCTGCGTTCTTTTTCTTTCTTTTCTCCGCTCTCCGCTTGCGTCAATGAGTGGTGCTTTTTCTCGTCTTTTATTCTCCAAAATAATTAGTTCCCCAAACAAATAAAACTCCTCCACTATTGCGTGAATTGTCCCCCTCCTGCTAGTGGAGTCGCAGGTAGATAAATAACATTCAAGTGTTTGAATTACACTTACAAATCCAACGCATCACATTAAATCCAATTATCTTCTACGTGGCCCACATATGATTGGCTTTTGGACTTCTTCAATTGTCCAAGGAATTGGACTGCTACAAAGTTTTGGGCCGTATCCAGTTGGTGCTTTAATTGGAGCGGTATTGATGTACCTCGATAATTAATCGCAAGAAATTCCGTCCAATGTTTCACGTTCATAAAATACTCCAATGAGCTGAAAATAAATATAAAAATATCAATGTGTGTGGATCCATCCAAATAATAAATAAGTCAAAAATATAAACGTGCGAATAAATTAAGTATATAAAAATAAACTATTAAACATATAAAATAAGCACATTTTTCGACCTATCAGCCTCCAATAGCCAAAAGCTCTACAAGTATGTGAACAAGCACGTGTAATACCTTTCCAACAAATAGAGAATTAAAGCACAAATATGCAATTTATACACCAATTATGCAATAACTAAGCTCTAGATACTCAATAAATATGGTGTAAAATCACACATGAACAGTTCTATCACCTCATTTCATCTTTTGTCAATGGTCATACTCTTGATTTTGGTCTTTGGATGAAGCATAATCTTGACGCGACGGAATTTGCTATTTTTGCTTCCCAAGTGTGGGGATGGTGGGTTGAAAGACAAAGGAGACTTCATTATGAGGATTGCGATTTTGGTAACGAAAAGTCTTTGAACATGGTTATGGAGTACTTGAATTGTTTCTAAAATACAATGAATTCGGTTCAAGGCCTCGAAAGTGAGGTAGACAATCGGAGTGATATCAAATGGAGGAAACCGCCGGATGGAGTTTGGAGACTAGATGTGGATGTTTCTTGGGATGACATAGAGGACCTTTTTGCCATTGGTGGAATTTTTCGAGACTCAATGGGGCAACTGAAGGTCGTGTTTGGTCGAAAAAAGAAGCGCATTAATTCGGTGCTAGAAGGAGAGCTACTTGCTATCATGGAAGGGATCAAAATTGCTAAAGAGAAGAATTTATTTCCCTTCATGTGAAAACAGACTCCATAGGTGTTGTACAAGCAGTTACAAATCCTAAGGAGTCTCTCGGGTATTGTGGAGTGATTGCAGGTGATATTAAGCGAATATTAGATGAGTCGGCTAATTGTTGTATTTCTCATGTTTCTAGAGTAGCCAATCATGTGGCCCATGCTATTTCTTCTTTTTCTTCTTTTCACACCTCCCACTTTGTTTGGGAAAAAGGTGATTTTCCTTCATGGATGATTAAGCTTGTAACTAAGGACTTAAATTAATATATCATAATCATGTTACTTGCTGTAAAAAAAAAAAAGAAATAAATCAAAAGTTAATTCCACTTATTTATTTATTTATTTATTATTATTATTTTCTACATAAATACACGTTTATTAAAACAATATACATTTTTAAAATTGAAATAGATCATCTATTAATTTATTTCAACATATTATATTGTAATAGTTTACTTTTTCAGCTAGCAATATTCAACTTTGAACTACCTTATTATATTAATATAAGTGACCATATCAATTTTTGAAATGAATGATTAGCATATTGTTTGTTCATTTGGTGTCCATGTGGCAACAAGAAAAAAGATGAAAAATCAAATTGAGCTGCCCATTCACAACCTGAACAACTAAACATGAGCACTAACAATTATTACTATCCTCAAAATGAAAAAAAAATATATATAAAACTTATTATAGTAATGATCAACAATAATTAATTATATAGTTGTGGTATATGAACATAATAGACAGCATACATAAACGTTGAAAATATTATGTTGACCTAATCTGATATTTATAATCAATAATCTTTACTCCTTATACATCATTTATTTATATCAACATCGTTTTTTTTTTTTAGTAAAATTAGCAATTTTGTATTTTTAATGGCATGATAGCATAACGATGTTACTTTGAAAATTGACGCTACATGCTGTTGCTCACAAGTATTACACTGAAAATGGGTCCAACTTCAGTTTTACTACCAGGCTCAAATTTTCAGCCCAAAGCTATGCTTCCTCACAGAATACTTTGGACTGGACTCTTACCCAACTTCTCAAGTGGGCATAATATAAACCTTAATTCGGCTTCTTACCCAACTTCTCAAGTGGGCCAATTTCATATCCATCCTAATAGGCCAATCCGACCCGTCTGGTCCCACCAGGCCGGTTGGCTAGATACTTTTTTTTTTTCGGTACAAGGTTGGCTAGATACGTTATTTCATTCATATGGTCCGTCTAACAACATTGCTTTTCAAGATTAAATATTGCCATGGGCATGCGATGTATATAGTTCAGAAAAATAGGATATCTATACTTATATTAAAAGGTATATTATTTATCAAATTTAGTATAAAAAAAAAGTCAACAACATTTATTGCATTACTATTTCCGTATTATACAATCTATACTTATATAAAAGAAGATTCTATTTACTATATTTACTATCCAGAAAAATCAACTGCATTAAATGCCATTACTATTTTGGTATTATCATATTTTATTTATTTAATTGATTTATTTATTTATTTTATTTTAAAAAGGTAAGTATAACAAAAAGATTTTAATAATAAAAAAATCAAATACCAAATAAAAATGTACACTTTGACTTATTTGATTATATTTGGTATTTGATTATACCAAATATATTCCTATTTAATATATACATTAAATACTTACTAAAGTATTTATTTGTTTTATTTATCAAAGTTAAGTATAGATTTGTTTATATTATCAAATCATAAAAAAATATTAAATCTATATTGTAAAAAAAAAAAAAAACATATAATTTTATAACAATTCTACTACACTATTTAACAATATTTATTTTAATTATATAATAAAATAATAATTAAATATTATATGGTGAACAACAATAAGTAAAACTGTTACTTTCTCTTATATCAAGGGATAAATTTATATGCTAAAATTAAATTTTTATTAGTATAAATGTTTTAGTGAGATAATATATTAATTATTTACAAGCTAGCCCTAACATGCTCATATTTAATCTTTTAAAAGATGTAGAAAAAAAAACTTATAATAACTCTATTATTTTTTAGACTTAAACGTTGATTAAAAGAGGTAAAAATTCCTAATTTTTTAGACTTAAACGTTGATTAACACCATAGATTGAGAGTTTATATTTAGTAAAATTCCTAATTGTAATAAAAAAAATAAGTTTTGCTATATTTTAGAATATCTTTAAATTCATTATAAAAAAAAGAAAAAAAACTACAATGAAAAAAGCAAGTCAGCTATATATCGATTTGTTGTACTCCTCAAATCGCATTCACAATTTGGCTACAAGGAAATGAAACTCATTGATTAAAATATTATTTTGTCAGTAGTCTTAAAGTACAAGAGACTTTAAGACTACACTTGAATATTATAAAAATTTTATTGAACATTGTACAATTTTCTTACGTATTATAAACTTTTATTGAATTTTGTATCTTATAATATAATATTCTGCAAATAAATATATCTCGTGCTTTGCACAGGTTACGTACTATATATATCCCGTACATTTTTCTTTATTCATTTATATAATTATAAGTCTGGATAAATAGTCTTAAAATTGTGCACCCCGTACATCGCACGGGCTCTGTACTAGTATAATTAAATTAGGGAAAAAAAAATTAACGGGGTTTATTACTTTTTGATTGATATTGTACACAAACTTGCATGATTGTGTAGGAATGTTAGGATTAAAAAAATAACAATAATTAGAAATTAAAATCATTTTACACCTGATACATAGCATGAAATATTGTCACCAGAGAGAGAACAATTAGAGATGGAAAAAGAGTGCATTAAAACATAACTAAAGACCAAAATTAAAGAAAAATCCCCCGATCGATTATTTTAGTCGATCAGAGAACAAGTTAGAGCCCACTTTACAAAAACATTACATCAAAACCCATTTCCACAAGCGGGTCGGATCCTCTACTACTTGATTGATCTAACAATTTCGCTTCAATTAATTTTTCTTCTCTTAATTTCCCTTTTTAATTTAATTCATTTTTTTTTCCCTTTCCCTTTTGGGTTTGTATTTAATTTAATTAATTCACCTCGAATGTGGCGGCAAAGCTGAAACTTGATGATCTCTGCAGGGCACTACAGGCGCCGCGTGCCTGCTCAGAAGCTCACGCGCCAACTCCTGAAGATCGCCGCCGCCGCCGGAGGCGGCCGACAACGGAATCTCTGGCGGGACCCTGCCGGCGGGGGATACGTTCTGAAACTGACGCTGATAAAGGGCTAACGAGGGGTTGTCGAAAAACGACGACAGGTCGTAAGCCGCCGGCAGATCGGAAACTGACTGGATTTGCAGCGGCGAGAACAGCGGCTGTGGCGGCGCCGGTGGCGGAGTTGGGATCTCCAAGGCGGCGAGGTGCGCCTGCAGGTAGTTGAGCTCAGCTTGGAGATTGACCACCTGAAAAATGTAACGGTAATTATTTGGTTTTACTCAGTAATTTGAATTTGAATTAGGGTTTTTCTGAATAGTGGTGAAATGTGGCAAGATATATACTATCGAACATATAAATCCAATCAATGTTTACAATTATATAAGCATAAGTATTAAGAGCAGTAAAATGATGAATGAGCTGCTTGTGATGTTCGGCTTGGTTTGATTTGGCTGTAAGTCTTGAGTTCGTTTAGTTATAGCCTGAGTCAAGGCTCGTTATTATTACCCTTGAAAAATGTGGGGTTTTTTACGTAATTTTAATAACTTATTATATAATCGACTCATAAAAGTTCGTAAATGAGGTGAGCTCAAGCTCGTTTATCAGCTCATCGTTAGTTTAACGAGCTGAACATTTTTACGTAATTTTCTAAAAATTTAATATGTTTTGGCTAGCTTTCTATTAAGGCTCGTTAATGAAGTGAGTAAACGAACCGAGCTCGATTTGATAAAGGTTCGGACCTGATCTGGAGTATGATTAGGAGCTCGAGTTCTGCTCGGTTTTGTTTGATTACAGCTCTGAGTATAACCGAAAAGCTCTCAAATGATAGAGAACAAAATGAAACTATAATATATATGTGAAACATAATATATATCAAGCACGTCTTGAAATGAAGCAGGTAATTAATAGATAATTAGATACTGTAACAACAGCAGAATCATATTCAAAAAGTACAATATTTTTAAGACAATATAATGTCAACACTATTTGATGAAATAAGGGAAATTCCTTGTCAAAAGAGGCAAACTCGATTGATAAGACAACTTGTACAACTGATGGAGGAGATATTCAGACAGACATATAACATGGCGGTAAAAGATTGTGTACAAGAAACTGGTGTTCGAATAGAAGAATACACAGATGAAGTTGCTTAGTGAAAGATCATTTAGTGGAAGAACTAATGAGTTTTATAATGTCAAATTAATTTGATATAAAGTGTAACAATTGATTTTAATGTCATAGCAAATTAGTAAAGATTATAAATATATGAGCGGATGAATACTATAAATAAGTAAACCCATCAAACGGCCTCTATAAAATTCAGTAAGCTTGAAAATAAAAGTTTTTACATAATTTTTAGAATTTTTAGCATGAATCACACACGAGTGAGCTGATGCTCGTTTATCGGCTCGTTAACTTAACAATTGAAGCTTTACTCGACTCGATAAGAGCTTGAACCTTCTCAGAGTACACCATCGGCTTAATGAGAAATAATCATGTCAATCAATCTTTCCACAATTTATCTAATGAGAAAGCAAGGTAAATTTACTACCAAAATTCAAACAATTACACAATGTGTGACTTAGCAATCTCCAAATAAAATAAATGACTGACCAATACCTCAAGAACAGCATCATTTTAAGTTTTTTTTTTTTTTTGCTTTTTTATTAAG